ACTTTTCCCCGTATGTACTTTTTCTCTTCTTCCCCAATGTCGAGATTGGCGTTTTTTGCATAAAGAGTGATACGTAAATCAACATTGAGGGCGTAACGCGACAAGTCAGTTTCAACAAATTCGACGAGTATTCTAGATATCATTAACAATGAATACAGTCTACTTTAGTCACAAGAATACCTCTTCTCACCGTGTGCACTGAAAAGTATAAGGTTTCTTAAATACTTTAAATGGTCGGTGACCCTACGTTTTGGACAGATGACTGAGTTTCTTTTCCAAAAATTCGACGGATTGCTTAAAATTGAACAAAAATTTAAAAAAAAAAAATCAATGTAAGAGGTTTTCCAAAGTAGAATCTTTCTATTCCGCTGTCTTAGGGCTGTTGAAAATCCGACCGTTCGACAATATGACTTTACTTAAAGAAGCGTCACTCGATCCCGCATAATTCTTGACATCATACTATAAAGCTTCATCAGATAACTGGTATTTTTTGATAAATATGTAGTGTGTTGGAACTCTTGGAATGACCATGTTCTTGACTGGTGGAAACACAAAGATGATTCCAATGTCTTGTTTCTCAAATATGAGGATTTACACAAGGTAATGCGGCAGGGGTAAATAACATAACCCTTCCCAAGGGACAGGGCAACGTCGATTTTCTCCATAGATCGTACAAAAAAGGTTTATAAGAATAATAAATTAAAAAGACCTGCAAAGATAAAACGTTTTCATCCTTTATCAAATTCTATCAGATAAGTCTTTAAGGAAATGTATGATGATGAGTCTGGAGAATTTGTACTGGGAAATAAGATTACACCCTAAGGGACTTGTCAGAAATTAGCAGGGGGGGAGGGGAGGTGGAGATTTTTAGTTAAGCGATGAAAATAAAATGACCCTCCCTAGGTAAGGGATTAAAATGTCCTGACCCTCCCCTGGAAAGCGTCCTAAAATTCTAGGACCCTCCCCTGAGTCCGAATTCTTATGCAGTGGTGCAAGGAAAATAATTCAGTACTTTCAAAAAAGCCATCTTGTACTGAAACTGACCTACGATGGACATGCAAGTGTTTCTTCTGTTGGCAAACAGGACAAAAGAAAGTTTTTGGTTTAATGGGATAATGACAGTTTCTCTTTCACGTAGCCTGAAATTCATCCGATTGCTTCGAGGCGTTTTCTAATCTCAACAACTGAGGGATTAATAACGACTTGAAGTAATCAGATGACTATAAGAATCAACTATCACGACTAGAAGAATCAAAGACGAATAATTTTCGCGAAAAAGAGTTAGACTTCTCAATATTTTTTCAGTGGAGATCACTTCAAGTGATGCTCCAAACAGGGGCATGTCACAAATAAAACAGCATGCTATAGGAATGGGTACATTAAAACCTTATCAACCACATTCAAGTAGGAGAAGTTGCCCTTCTACACAAGGAAAATAATGATCAGTATGTCAGGAAATCAGAATTGCATGTCATGATTTTCATATATGGTTTGTATTCTCGTAAAACATAATATTGAAGCATCCCTTCACGATCGTGGTGGCTTATTTTTTTGTGACCCTCCCTCTTTTCCTGTCATTTTTTTTTTCCTGCCCTCCCTTTTGGAGGGCTCAAAAAACTCTGACCCTCCCCCATTTTCCACCCCCCCTTCCCCCCTGCTAATTTCTGACAAGTCCCTAACAATAGAGTGTTTTCACATGACGTCACGGCGGCCATATTGGTGTCCCAAAACAATAAAACGGCGACCATGTTGGTGTCCGAAACGAGTCCTGTGGGAGTTGAACTCCTTTATTATGCAAACGCTTTCTTTTGTTCCAATAAATTTGCATAGATGCTGGCCACGTGAGTGAAAACACTCTGTAGCAACGGAGACCATAAAACTGATATATTTTCAAAATGATAAATGCCCACGATCATATCCAGTCGCTGGACCGCGGACCTTAGAGGAAACACCTTCTACCATCATGTACCAGGGCTTTCAATAACAATTGAAGTAGCCAGCAGGTTTGATTAGACTAACTGACAGTGTCAAAAAAGGGCCATTGTTTCCCCAGAAAATGTTAACATTTCTAAGCCCTAAAATGTTTCATTCAAGTTTCGGTTTATCAGCCACACAATCAACTCCTTCAAGCAATTAACACAAATGACGGTAATTCAATAATGTACATTTGTTAGTGAACAAACTCTGGGTAAATCTATGTAAAAAGGTGTGGAAAATTGACTGACCAATGCGTACCATAAATCCAGTGGTTCTTGCTAAATTAAAAAATACATCATAATTATGTTTTCATTGAGATGTTAAGATATTTTTTGTTTACAACAATATTAAAACGTCATAACTGCTTCTTCTTACACAAAAAAGGTAACCGACTTCTCTGAGCGTTTCGTCGGTCGTGGGTACTTATTGAAACCCCTGATATTGTACCAACCATTTTCGAGGATCGAAAAGACGAAACGCACCAATAACAGAACAGCTTCGGTGCTACTAATAATTCCGCACAGTCAAATGCATATGAGAATGATCAGCAAAAATGCCTTCAGGGTATTGAAATCTGAACTTCCAAACATTAGAAATAAACTCTGAAATTTTAGCAAGACGAACAATTGGAAAACCCCAGCTGTAATCTCTTTAAATTGAAAGTTCTTGTCTTAAACGGTCATATTTACGGTTCTATCACCCTTTTTGGTGATCAGTTTATATCGTCTTAATTTAGCTTAATTCTATTGCTAAGTACTTGATTACGCACGTAGGGGTCTTGCAACGTAAAAGATTAATCTCTCTCTTAAATTGTTTCTTCTAGAATTTACCTTCCCATGTTCGAATGATTACTGATTTCCTGAACAAGCCACTGACAGATGAACTCATTAATCGCATTGCAGAGCAGTGCACTTTGAAGGGCATGAGGGAAAATGAGATCAGTTTCATGGTTAGCCCCGAAGAACAGAGTTCTCCGTTACTACGAAAGGGCGTGGTCGGAGGTTGGAAGAGTTACTTCACTCCTGAGCTGAATGATAGATTTGATAAGGAAGTGTTGACAAAACTGGAAGGATCTGGATTAGAGTTTGATTTTGAGATCCATACGTGACAAAAAAAAATCCATATAGCCGGAACAGGCAGAAAAAAGAAAACATATTAGCTAATTAAAAAAACGCTTGCACTCATGACGAACCCAACAATATTTCACTTTTGTAACGGTCCTTCCCCCAGTCACCTATAAACAGCACAATATTTCGCCCCATTTAAGGTAATCCAACACAGCCTTGGGTTCTGGATTTGGAAAGGCGCTAACTGTCTAAAAGCTCATCATACATGTCACGTATGACCATATATGTATCTTAAAACAACCTCGTCCCCAGGGCTTTTCCCTTAAAAAATGGGTGGGGCGCCACCTATTTTTTAAGGGAAAAGCCCTGGGGACGAGGTTGCTCTTAGGATATACTGAGTTCAGTTTCATTTAGTAGAGTCTTAAAGAATTACATGACTGTGATATATTCTGTAATCTAACTTCCTAGATATGATTTGCTGATAACTAATTTTGGATTCCACGCTATTGATTTTGGATTTTTTGTCAGTGGAACACGGATTCCGAATTTCAACCGTCAGCGGGATTGCAGATTTCCAGGGCTGAAATGTTGGCCCCCAAAGCCTAGGATTCGGGATTCCACAAGCAAAAAATTCTCGCCCGGGCGATCCGGATTACTTTACATGTAGCGAGAAGTTCAAAACAACAATGGCCTGTTGTATTCCGAGAATTTCTCCCTTATTAAAGAGGCGGGATGCGCAGTCAGATTATATATTATTATTCCAGAAACATTTCTTGCGGGGCGGAATTCCATTTTATCCCCACTTGATACAGAGGCTAAGACTAAAGGCAAACCAAGAAAACTGGTATGTTACTGCCTACAGAGTGTTGTTTACCTGCGTCACTTTCAGACTTATCACGCGAGACCTAGATCAGCTAGAGGACCTAGAAAGAAACCCTCGATATATCGGGATTTTAACAGGGGCACCCAACGACTGTTTTCTGTAAAATATCTGTTCGGAGAGGCAAATATTACCTAGAATTTTCTATTACTTGTGGACTGCTAAAAATTTTCTAGATGGCCGTTCCATTCATGAAACAATTTCGAAGCTTATCTAACAAATTCCCAATAACTTTCTGATTTTTAATTTTTAACATTTCACTCCCCAGGTTAGGCTATTTTTCCAGAAAAAAGGAAAGCTAAAATTTTCGGATTCAAAAATGTGATGGAGAGAGGAATCAGAAAAAATTCTCACTTTCGTAAAGCGTTAAATTGCTTCCAAAGTTTTCGGGAAAATAATACTGAATCCCTTGTAATTTCGAAAAGACTCAAGTTTCCATAGGATGAGCGAACAGATACAAATTTTATAGCGACGCTTACAACGCATTTCTAGAATTCTAAAAGTGCTCTGGATAGCCTAAAAAGTGTTTCAATGTATTTAGAAGGAAACCGCCTTTGGGTGCCCCTGTTTTAAGACTGTCCTCGGCGAAGGCTGCTAAACTGTAAGTTAGGCCGGTCCGCAACTGAAGAAACCACAGGCCTGCCAAGCTCACGTTACGAGTGTGTTATATGTAAATTAACTTTCTCACAAGAGAGTCAGTGTCGCGTCACAAGCAACCGTTGAGACTTTGTATGAGACATAAAATACTGAGGTCTGCGAACGCTAAATATCATTATTCTTACTAATTTTTCCATAAAATAAATAACTTCCTATTATGAAGAGAGTGACAGAGGTCAAACAATAACAGCCAAAAAAACCGACTAAATCGATGAATTCACACCAACTCAACAAAGGAATACATCAAAGGTAAGTCTCCTCTATTTATTTTATAGAAAAATAAGTAAGAATAATTATATTTAGTATATACTAAAACAGTGGATAGTGTTTTTCGCGCACTCTGATTGGCTACTCAATCAGTGAATATCCTGCACTATTCACTGATTCACCTCCAGTTCCTCCGAGCGAGCGACGCCAAACTCGCGTAAGTTGCGAGCAAAATGCCTTCCCGGTTTGCTGCCGTAAACAAACAAAGAAATTTCACAACTAATCAAGCAAACTGTTTCCGAAATACACGAAGAAGGTGACGAAGTTCGGATTGGAAGTTTTAACAGGTAAAGTTTGTGTTTTTGACACGAATTTATCGATAAAACCGGTGAAAAAGTTTTTTGTTTACAAATGCAAATTAAGTTCGTCTTGCTTACTTTATTTAGTTGAGTTGTTCATAAATAAGCTTAAAACTAAATTTAATAACCTTTTTTTATAGAATGACTTTAAATACAAAAAAAATTCACAATTCCTTTTGAAGAAATTTCCCCGCAAGAGCTAAACAAATGCCTTCAAATGTTTTAATTGTCGGCAAGAAAAAGCGACGGCCGCGGCCGCCGGGTCATTACGCGCCAAAATTGTAATCGTTGGCAACAGTATTTGAGTTAAAAATCGTCATTTTTGTGCTCAATTATCTCACTGTTTTAGTATATACTAAAACAATTATTCACCTCAGTGTCGGTGGCTAGTCGTGGATATTTACCTCACTGCTTCGCAGTTCGGTAAATATCCAGGACTAACCACCTCCACTTCGGTGAATAATTGTTATTTAGCGTTCGCAGACCTCAGTATTTTATTTCTCATACAAAGTCTCAACGGTAGACTTGCTACAAGTCGACCTCGTGGCGACCCGTGACTCGTAACGAGAGCTTGGGACACCTTTGAAGAAACCCGCTACTCATCTCAATCCGCCCTGTTGCCTCTTACTTATACATACTGTATACACTGATTTAAACTGTTCTCTTCTCTTATTGTTAGTTTTTAATTTGTTATAGAAAGCGGTAACTAAACACTCACTAAATCATAATTATACTTTAAAAAAAAAATCTGTGGAAAGCATTGTATCGGCTATTGCAATTTACAAGTGTTGTTGAAAACTATTGTTTTCGAACTCTAAAACAATAGCTAGACATGTAAATTACACTTGTAAAAGTTTCATTAAATTAATGACCCCTGTAAGGTCTCCACTGTTACTTGTGAGCGCCTGCTAAGTAAGCTACAATAGTCATCAGGCTTAGGCATTGATGTACTGTTGTTTTTTTTGTTTTTTTTTTTTTCAAAACTCTATCATCTTGTCATCTCCTGTCGTTTCGTGACCTTCTTTTCCTTTTGTATTTAACTCGGGTGTTCATACGGTTCTATGACCATGAAAACTGTAAGGCGTTGTATTTAACAATTATTCCTCGAGCCCGAATGGGCTCTGACGCAATAGCCCATGAAGCCGAAGGCCGAATGGGCTATTGACCCAGAGGCCATGAGGGCGAGAGGAATAATTGTTTCTAGCAAAATCCAACTAGTTGGTCAAAAATATCGAGACAAAACAACTTAAAGCAAGACTTTAATCCTATTTTTTCGCCAAAAATCCGGCGCTTTTCGCTACTAGTGGGCTATAACATATAGCCTAGTAATAGCTCAACCAATCAGAACGCAGCATTGATAATAGACCACTAGCTGGATTTTACTAAAAAGAGATAACCATTTGTTCTCTAGTTAATGACCTTGAGGCTAATGTAAGATCAAGCATAAAAAAATAAATGATGCATGATGATGTACTTCGTCGCGTAACAGAATTGTTGTCCTTTAATTCGTACGCTGTGCGCAAGACAAGCAACAATTTTTCGTGGCAAGTCTTGCTATTCAAACAACAGACGGCGAATGGACATCAGCAAGATGTTGGGATAGTTTTCGGAGTTAGAATTCAGGCATTTTTCACCAAAGATCCAACGTTGCTAGCGAATCAATTATCCAACTTCCATACGAGACTATAGACGACGTTTTCGTGGTCACTTATCCCAAGTCAGGTTTGTTCATTTTTTTACACGTAACATAATTTGGATTAAAACTGGGAATACCTGCTCCTTCTGCGAAACGGTTTAATCTCCCCACTCCCGTGTTCTTTTCAGAGCCAAATATATCATTTAGACTCTATCGCTGAGCCCATGTTATTTTCCCTTTCCATCTGTCTTTTGTAAGAAAGCCAACGAAATTGCCGTCGATCCCCTGAACGTTAGTGGTTTCAGAATTTTAGGAAGTTCAACTGAGTGCAGTTCGCCCGAATAATGACCCTAACTCGAACTTGATTTGCTCAGTTTCTTCTTCTTTCTCATCCTTGCATTCAAGTTCGATATAACCAGTGCCCCAGGCACGGTTTCTCCTCTATCTCAATGCCTGGCAGTCCAAATTTTAAAGTGTATTTCAGCGAGAGGTCTCATGTTAACCCTCTCAAGGCCCAGACCTAAAAATGACTCCTAGTTGAAGGGAAAAACAAAAACTAAGAACTAAATGGCAACACAAACCTTCATTATATCATTGCTGTCCAAGTACTCAAAGGGATAGTAGCTGGATATTCACGCCCTTGAATTCTCGCTAATACAATTTGGGATCACATTGGGAACATAATATCAGCTAGGGCAAAAATGAAAACCAATGATTTAGGGATTGAGACCCTAAAAACCTAGACCCCTCCCCCCTTGGTGGAGCGAGTATATTGTGTTTGTGATAGCCTACTCATTCAGGATGATCATATCTCTGTGATTGTCATTTACTGTACTCAATCCAGGTACAACGTGGATGCAAGAAATTGTCTGGCAAATCTGTCATGAGAGAGAAATCAGCATTGAAATTAAAATGTATTCCTTCGGGTGCCATTCCTCGAGAAGTTGGCGTCGCAAATTGATTTTCATGATCTGAGAAG